CATCAATGATACTAAAACGATCTAAAGCGATCTTTGCTCCTGTTTATCAACGAGCAGTATCATTTCGATGATCTAGATAAGAGGACAATGATTTCCGATCTCAACTTCTCACACTCAAAATTGCCCATGATTTATGCGCGTGAAATAAAAATGGCAAGATCATTAACATTCGGAATTCGATTTCAAGAAGAATACCACAGGCATATAATTAAATTAAAAATTCATGACATTCGGACATTGCCAGAAAAAAATCTCAAAAAATGATGTCTGCAATTATTTCATTATTATCATTAATACACATCTCCTATTCAGTGTTCTATAGAGACCAGTGGTACTGCCCTTTTAGATAAAATGTCCTTACTTATTTTTATCCATATCTTCTCTAAATCATTCATTATAAAATATTTAAATTCATCTCGATTCTTATATAAAGAATTGTGTTTTTTTTTCAAAGAGGACAATTGATCTAATAAGGGCATAATAAGAATCGAGTACAGATAAGAAGTAGAAGAAAAAGAAGGAGAAGCAAGAAAGAGTGCCACTTACCCTAGCTTCGGCGGTGAGAATATAGCCCTGCTCCAGGGCTTTCGCGAGGTCAAGGCGGTTTCCCGATGGATCTTCGATAAGCCTGCCCGCTATAGGATCCACTATCCCGATATTTATAGCCTCTAACAAACTAACGATTTTACCGGTACCGGGCTCTTTGATAACCGCGCTCGACGGGTCTATCGTGCCCGAATCGATCGCCTCCCTCAACGTCGCGGGTTTACCATCTAACGCGACTCGGAACGGATCGTGAAATTTACCGGAAGCTGCGTCGTAAAGTCCGAACTCCAACGATTCTATAAACGAGATACCGCGTTTCGGTGTGATCAATAATTCGGCTTCTATCGCCTTCGACAGCGGATATAATCTCGACGTTTGTGTCTCCAACACGTTCCCTTTCTCAGCGTCCATCAGACCTTTCCTGAACGCCTCCGCCAGTTTCACTAGCTTCTTCTTCTTCGTGTCTTTGATCAACGCGGAATCAGAATCGACGATTCCAAGACTGACGGCTTCTTTCAACGTCACCGCTTCTCCAGTCTTCGGATCGAGTAACTTGCCGCTCTCGACGAACAGGTGTCCTTCTTCCATAGCTTCCTCGAAGCTCAGAGGCTTTATGAAGTATACCTCGACGCCACTGAAACGTACGAACCTCGGTGCCAGTTTTCCATCGGGTGTCCGTGGTGAACTGGATTCGATGGTTCCTTTGATCGAAGGATCGAGGATCTCGTCCGCCAGGGCGTTGCTGACCGTGACGAATCGACCGTTATTCAGGTCTCTGACCACGGCTGTGTTCGGATCGACGAGACGATTATCTATAGCTTCCTGAAGGGTGTAATCTTGTCGCGGCTCGTCTTTGCGGATTAGACTTCGTCGCGTTGGCTGGTGCGTGAGAGGTTTCTCCAGAGTGACCAAGAGACCTCGTTCCAGGGCCACGTCGATGGGATAAGCGCGTTTCGTTTCGTAATCCAAGACCCGGCCATGGGCCACGTCGATGGATCCATTTTCTATTCCCATCGGGAGGGACGTGATTTGACCAGTCTTCGCGTCTTTCAGAGCAGTCGTGTCTGGGTCCAAGAGGCCTACGTCAAATCCTCGGCTGAGGTCGTGAGTCTCGTTCGACCGTGGATCGACGAACATTCCAGTTTGACTTCTGTACAGATCGCTAGTGACTGCTTCTTCGATACTCAGTGGTAGTTTCGAAGCTACGATGTAGCCTCTTTTCACAGCTTCGCAGAGATCGATTGGCGCTTGGTTGTTCGGTAAAATGTACATGCCGCGGATGTCATCGATGACTCCTGAGGAAATGGCATCGGAGAGCGAGACGTATTTGTCGGATCGAATATCTCGTATAATGGACGAAAGAGGATCTATCAGTTCTGATCTGCAAGCCTCAGCGAGAGTGAGCTTTTGGTTAGTAGTCGGATGGGTGAATTTTCCAGAGACAGGCTCGTAAATGTGCATAACGACTGCCTGGTGGAGGCTGAACTCTGCAGTCTCGATATCGACCACTAGACCCAGTTGCAGAGCCAGGGTCAGAGATACTGTGCAATTGGCACCAGGTTCCTTGAACATTCCAGTTCGTCTGTCTATCACTCCTGCGCGACAGGTCTCTGCCAACGAGAGTAATCTATCTGCTCTCTTGTCCCAGTAACATGCGAGAGTGGGACTGATCAAACAATTTCTCATAGCTTCGTGCAATGTGACTGCCCTTCCTGTGCTCGGATCGGTGATCTTTCCCGTTTGTTCATCGTACAGTCCTTGGTGGATAGCTCTTTGCAAGGAGACAGCCGCTCGGTGATCGACTATGAGGCCAGCGTCGTACGCCTCCCGCAGGGACATAGACGATTCAGGTGTTACGTTCACCTTACCCGAAGAACCATCGATGTATCCACTTCTAATCGCTTCTGTAAGAGATATCCTCTCTCGGAAACCGCTCCTTCCATCTTTCACAGTCACCGAATCGGCGTCTATTAAATTCCTTTGAATAGCGTCGCGCAGAGGTAAATAGACACCAGTTTGAGGATCCAGGAACATATTCGTCCTTTCATCGAGGATTCCCTTGGAGATGGCCTCGCTGAAAGTCATCGGTCTTCGCGCTTCTAAAAGCAATCCGTGTTCTAATGCTTCTCTGAAGTCTACTGGCTTGCCTTTTTCGTTGGTAACCGTGCCAGTCTTCGGGTCTACTATCAATTCTTTAATGGCTTTGCTGAAGGTGATCGCTTTTCCCGGTTCGCGTACGACTACAGCGGTACTGGGATCAATGACACCGACTTTGATCGCCCGGTCCGTTGGCAATTTCTCTCTCGTTTCTGGAACGATGAATCGTCCAGTGGCCGGTTCGTATAATCCTTTGAAGACAGCTTCTGGGAGAGATATCTTGCGTTTGGCTGGTACTATCAATCCGCGATCAAGAGCGTCCGTGAGTGATAGAGGCGTACTCGTCGATGGATCAATGGCTGTTCCGGTTTTCGGATCGATCAGACCTTGTTTGATAGCTTCTCCTAGAGATATTATTTCGCTGTTCCTTGGATCTTTAACAGAAGGACTGTCCTTACCAATCAGTCCATTTTTCAATGCATCCTCGAGAGTGTAATCGACACCATCTATTTCAAATGTGCCTTTCTCGGGATTGTAAGTCTGATGAGCCAACGCTTCTTGCAGTGACCAAGGTTTAATCGTGCTAAGGATGTATCCTTTCTCATAAGCAACGTCCAATGTCATTGGATGTGGAGATACTAAAATTCCTTTTTCAAGATCGATCAGTTGTACGTCTTCAGCTTGTTGAAGAGGCAATACTTTGTCATTTTTATCGTCCCTGACCATGGTCGTTTCTCCGTCAACGTAGCCCGTCTCCAATGCCTCTTTCAAAGTAGTTTCCTCTCCGGTTCGCGGGTTTGCAACGAGACCGCTTCTCGGAGAATAATATTCCTGAACTATCGCGTCGGTCAACGTAGGCACGAAGCCTGTAGTGACTATCAAACCTCTATCGAGCGCGACGTTCAATGGAAGCAGCTCTCCAGCTTTGGTATCCCGCAGGCGACCTGAATCGGAATCCAACAATTTCGATTCTCCAAGTGCTTCTTCTAAAGATAAAAATGTTCCAGCTTTGCTATCCTCGCATTCGCTAATGAATGCATCGATTATTCCTCTGCGTACACTCTCTTCAACGTCTATGGATTGGCCGGTTAACTTATCCTTGATTTTACCAGTGCCTTCTTCGTAAAGTCCCTTCTTGATAGCTGCTTCCAGAGAAATTGGCTTACGTGATTCGGGAACCACTAGTCCCTTCACAAAGGCGTCTTCAACGTTGATTTTCGTTCCCGATTCCAAGACTTCCTGAAGAGACGAGACTTCATCGTTCAAGGGGTCTCGGATACTGATCGAATTCGGGTCGATCAGGCCAACTTCGATGGCTTCGTTCAATCTGAACATCTGATTAGACGTCGGATCTCGAACTTGGCAAGTTGATGGATCTAGCAAACCGACTTCGACAGCTTGACGAATGGTTAAACCTTCGGTAACCGAAATTTCTGGTTGCTTCGCAGCTGGTTTTTGTTTAATTAAACCGAGTTTCACGGCTTCGAAGAATGGTATTTTCTTGCCGCTCTTCGGATCGACCATGTATCCAGTGTTCCGATCTACCAAAGGCTTGGCGATTGCATCGCGTAGAGACACGTATCTATCTGTCGTTTTACACGACAGATCTTTTACCAATACGTCGTCTGGATCGAAGATTCCCAAGTCTAAAACGAAGTCGTTAAAGGATACAACTTCTCCGGTGTCAGGATCGAGGAATTTCTCTTTCTCCAGATCGTACGCTCCTTGAGCATCGAGATCTCGAGCCGTGAGGTCAGGTGTTACTTGGATAACGAGTCTCCTCTCGTCTTCCTCCGATTCAGATTCCTCCTCTGATTTCTCTTCCTCGGATTTTTCTGGGCTCTCTTCTGTCGACGTAGGTTCCACTTTTTCTTCGTCTTGTCGCTGCACTTCAACTGCTTGAATCGTAGGTGCCTGCCTCTCTTCTGTTTGTTGTTGCACTTTCGATTCTTGAATCGTAGGCTCCTGCCTCTCTTCTATTTGTTGTTCTACTTTCAATTCTTGAATTGTAGGCTCCTGTTTTTCTTCTATTTGTCGTTGCACTTTCGATTCTTGAATCGTAGGCTCCTGCCTCTCTTCTATTTGTTGTTCTACTTTCAATTCTTGAATTGCAGGCTCCTGTTTTTCTTCTATTTGTCGTTGCACTTTCGATTCTTGAATCGGAGATTTTATTTCAGCTTCCAATCTTTCAGGCTTATCTACTTGATCCCTTGAGACTTCTTTCAACTCTTTCTTCTCTTTTAACATTTCTTCAGCTTCTTTCTTATGAAATTCTGGTTTCGGGATTTCTTTCGTCTTCTCTGCCGAAAGCACTTTTACAGGTTCGATCATCTTCTCTTTTGGTGCACTTTCAATCATCTGAGATGCAATTCCTTTTGGTTCTTCTTCTCTGGGAGGTGAAATTTTGATCGGCTCCTTGCTCTTATCTCTACTTGCAGCAGCGTCGCGCACAGCGTCATACACCGCTTTTCCAGCGAGAACAGGAGCAATTATGGGAGAAGCCATCGCTAGAAGACCCAATTTCGCAGCTTGTTTCAAAGAAACTCCACGATCCTGATCATCCTTAGTTTTCCCTGTTACAGGATCGATGATTCCTCGCTCCAGTGCTTCCTTAGTCGTAACAGTCTCAGCAGTTCTTGTATCATAAATCACGGTATTAGGATCAACCAATCCCACCTCCACCGCTTCGGTGAGAGTGTAAGACTTTTTAGTTTCCGGATCCAAGAATCTACCAGTCTCTTCGTCGTACACTTGATCAATCTGCTCAGTCGCAGCACTTGTGGTCTTTTCGGTATCTCCGTAAGTGGATGAGTCATCCAACAGACCGTTTGTAACAGCTTCCTGAATAGGCATGACGGATCCCGTCGAAGGATTCGTATAAGTACCGACACTCATGTCCAGCAAGCCCTTCTGCAACGCGTCATCGAAAGTCATTTTTATATCTTTAGTAGTGAATTCTTCTTTCTTCTCTGACTCGTCCTTGACGATTCCTTTCTTACGAGCTTCGTCCAGTCTCATTACCTTCCCGGTTTCAGTATTTTTCACCTCGTTAGGTGTTATCAATTCGTAACCGGACGAGATCGCCATGGTTTTGGTAGTGACAGTGTGATAAGAAGTAACAGTCTCCGTGAAACCAGATGGTACACTCGTGGCTTCAGTAGTCGGTGGTTTTACGACTAATAATCCAGATTCGATGGCTGTGAGGAGACGCACGGGTGTTCCGGTTGTAGGATGGACGAAGACACCCTTCTCGCGATCGATCAAGCCGGCCTCCAATGCCTTCGTGACTTCCATACTATCAGAAGTCACGGGACACGGTAACGACATTATGAAATTTCCCTTGATGGCATCTTCTAAAGATAAGCGTTCTTCCGTGATCGGATGTCGAATCTCCTTCCCACGCTCGTCTATTAAACCTCGTTCGAGGGCCACAGTAAACGTCATTCCCGCAGGTGGAATTCTTTCTTGATCCTTATCCGATTCAGCGAACACGTTGTTCTCGACAGCTTTCATCAGGCTGACGCTATCACCTGCGCTAGTTTTTATCAACGATCTCTCAGGATCGACGAAATCGCTTTCAATCGCGTTGCGAAGGGTCTCCGTTCGACCATCGGAGCAAGTCAATTTTGATAACGGATCGACTATTTCGCAAAGAATTGCTTCTTTAAGCGTCAAATGAGCACCGGTCTCTGGGTGTACAACTTTGCCTTCTTCAGGATCCAATAAACCTTGTTTATACAAGCCAGGAATTGACAAACTCTTTGCCAGTGGTACTAAGACGTCGGCACTTTCTGGATCTAGAATTCCACGGTCGACCGCTTCACCAATGTTGAGGACGTCGCCTCTCTGAGGGTCGATGATCTTGCCAGCAGCGGCGTCTATCTTCTTGCTACGAATCGCTTCAGATAAAGAGACGGGCTTCCCATCGATCACTGTCACCTCTCTGTTGAAAATCTCAGCAGTCTCTGCATCGATCAGGCCACTCTCCAAAGCCTCGTCCGCTTTAACGACTCTCTTCCTCAGTTTTTGAAGCACGATCGATTTTACTTCTAAAGGTGTTCTAGGTTTCGATTTCAAGTCTCCCATAAGGTCTTCCTCGATTTTCTCGCTTATAGCCGTTGGCGAAGAATCAGTCACAGAGTCTATTACAGACGTCGAACCGATAGCGGAGTCCGATTCGGAGATAGAAACGGAAGTTGGTGGCTTGCCACTTACAGAAACTTCCTCCTGTTCGCTCGGAGATATTTCCTTCATAATTTCTACTTTATGAGAACCGTCTACATCCGTAGGAGACGTGACGGGAACGAGGGGCGATCCCATGACTGTGACTATGCCAAACTTCGCTGCCTCCAGTAAAGGAATTTTTCTATGCTCATCTAGATTATATTCCGCAGTGTCCGAATCGACGATTCCGCGTCGTACAGCGTCCGCGATGCCAACCTCTTTACCCGTAATTGGATCTTTCACGATTACCACTTTGGATGGCAAAGTGCCATCAGTTAAAGCCTGCACTAACTCTGTCGACTTTCCGGTTTCGGTTGATATGACCAGAGCTGTGCTCGGGTCGTAAATAAGTTCGCGCGACACTCGTACAGGATCGGGTATCGCATGACTAGTCCCGAGTAATTTAATTTCTAATTCCTTTGGACCGTCCGACCGCGTCACTTCTAATTTATCCGGTTCGCCAGATACTTTAGTGATCCGAAGTAGCCTCTGCTGAGAATTGTCACCTTCTGGTTGCTTACCTACCAAGATGATCAGCCCTTTATCTATCGCTTCTTTCATGGTGATCTTCTCCGGGTGAGTGTAATGACCCAACGAGTCCAGGATGTTCTTTTCTAAACTTCGTATCAACGATATTTTTCTACCGTTGTTTGGATCGATCACGAAGCTCGAATTCGGATCGATTATTTGTAACTTAACGCACTCTTCGAACGAGACTAATCTGTCCGTTCCCGGAATTATAAACAGGCCTGTAGTCGGGTCGAACAGCCTCCTCTCGATCGCCTCGGACAGAGACCACCCATCGGTTGGTAACTCAAACACTCGTTTTTCCTCTTTCGCAGATTCATTAACTGCACTCGTGTCTTGGTCCTGATCCGGATCCTTGATCCACGATGGTTGATCGCTCGTTTGCGTGGGAGGTTCTACGAATTCTCTTTTATTAATTACACTACTCGTCTTCACTTCCATTGAAGACACTAGACGATCCTTGGTAATAATGTTCGTGGTAGTGCCAATGGCTCTAGGGACACTATCAGTAGACGTGCGATTGTAAGAATCAACTTCCGTTCGTCTGCGTATTTTTTCACTTTCGAATTCCGGCCGGATCTCCTTCACTTTCGTCACCGTCTGCGTCGTAACAGTAATATTGAGCAGACTCGTGAGTAAAGCGGCACCATCAGTAGTAATGAGACCACGTATGATCGCATTTTCAAGCGGTACTGGCCTCTTGGTTCTAGGATCTAATAGTAAGCCAGTTTTCGGATCGACCAACTCTGAGAAAACTGCTTCCAAAAGCGAGATTTCTCTGCCTTCTTCCACGATTCCTATTCCCCGGTTGAGCATCTCGGAGACTTCCGGTCGAACGTAACCGCGCTCTTCGGCTTCGATCAGAGATACGGTCTCCCCAGTGTTGGGATCGACGATGTAGGTGCCACCAGATTTGGGACTGATCAGACCCTTGAGCAGAGCAGCGTTTAAACTGACGTAGTCTCCGCTCAATGGGTCTCTGAATCCGTCCACGTCGAATATCGTTTTCTGCGCGAGCGAAGTAACCAGGCCTTTCTCGACGGCCTCCGATATAGCGATTTCCTCCGTCGCGTTCGCGCCCTTGTAGATCGCCTTTTTAGGATCGATCAAACCACGGTTGAGCGCCTCGGATAATGTGAGCATCTCGCCGGTGTCCGCGTCAACGATCGACTTCAATCGATCCGCGTCGAGAACACCTCGTTCAATGGCCTCCGTCACGGTCAATTTCGCTCTATGCGCCGGACTCGTGATTCTACCGTTCTCGTCTATTATTTCTGTATCACTACAGTCTTTTAAGGTCATCGGTTTAACAATTAGACGACGCCTACGCGCCTCCTTCAACGACAGCTTCTCCATCGTAAGGCCATGCATATATTTTCCAGTCTTGGGATTGATTATACCCAGTTTCATAGCATCCAGAAGTGTCACTTTATTGTCATTCCTCGCGTCTACGATTTCCCTGGCGGTAGGGTCCAAGAGCCCTTTCTCGACAGCCTCGTCAAGGGCGTAACTCTCGCCCGTGACTCGGTCTAAGACACGGCCGAGCGTGTCGTCTACCAAACCCTGAGAAATAGCGTCGGACAAAGGCAACATGAGGCTCCTCTTAACTGTAACAGTGACGTCGAGCTTCGCTAAGTATCCTCTCGCGTGCGCCTCCTCGACCGACAACCGCTCCCCATCTTCGGTGACCAGTTCGCCCGTGCGCGGATCCAACGCGGAACCCTGCCCATCTCCACCCGCGTCCACTCTCATCGCATCGGCTACGCTAACCCCACTCGCATCGGCCTCTCTTTGGTAAGTTACCTTCGCTCTATCGGCCGCACCCGCACCATCGAACTGCTCCGCGTCGAACAACTCCCGCTGGATCGCCTGCAGCAGAGAGACCGGTCGCCCCTCTTCGTCGAAGCCCCATGGGCCGAGCAGACGATCCGCGAGACGTGCATCGATCAGCTTTTCCCTGGCTGCCTCCTCGATCGTGACGGTCTTTTTACCGTCCCTCGAACACACTATCCTACCCTTCCTAACGTCCAACACCATAAGACTGATCGCCTCGCCCACGGTTAATATTCTCCCGGTACGTGGATCCACGATACCCCTAGCCTCGATCACGTTCTCTGTACCTATACCCTCGTGCGCCTGCTCTATCCTCTTAACGCTCCTAATCTCGCTAGAATACACGCTGCCGCCGGCGACGCTACTGGCCCTCGACCAGGCCTCGTCCCTCTCGTCGATCCTCTTCTCCTCCCCGCGTTTAGTCTTCTCTTGTTCAAGTTCCCTCTCGGAGAACCCAGTCCTCGTGGTCGATCCCGCATCCTGGATACCTCGGCTATTCTCCTGAGAGCCGGACCGGCGTACCGCGTCGCTGGACCGGATGGTCTCGGTCTTCTCGGTACGTTCCGTCCTCTCGTGCCGCTCTAGGCTGTACCTGCAGGACGATCGATCAACCGTGAAGTTTTCAGTTACGGGTAATGGAATCGTTTTACAGGTTTTCTTATTATGCAACTACTCACTGAGACTGGGTGTAGTGCGTGGTTGTTGATGTGTAACGTTCTTCGCAAGTGCTGCTCTCGTAGATGTTGAACTCCGTACGGAACGTCTTCAGCGGCCTTTGCTCCTGAAGAGCACGCTGCAACACAAGCCCGAAGGTCGTACATTATAGTAACTACATGGTTTTATGCGTAAAGAATGAAGTATAAACAGGAAACAATTTTATTTTATTGTCGATTTAAAAATGAATGAAATATATTGTGAATATAAATGAACATGAATATTCATTTATGTACGATTATGAATTGAGAAACAATTTGAAAATAATTAATATGCAACGAGAGGAAATGTTATTTGGAAAATTACCGCTTTCACAATGGTTTTATGAAGTGTCATCGCGGCTAGCGCGTTCCGTTCTCCGCAGACCGTCGCGATAAATTAAGAGAGAAGAAAAAAAAGGCGAGACGCGTAAGAGACTCGTAATCGTCGAGATTTTAATCGCCTAGAAACTGTGTCGCGTGTCAGGGCTACGCGTAGCTCTCGAACGATCGCTTTCGCAGAACATGTTCAAAGTCGGTTCGATCAACGCGAGCACCTCTAGGCAACTGACTGAACCGACTCGGAGTCGCCCTCGAGTTGGCAAAACGCCGGCCGTCTCGTAAACTCGGGAAACGAAGGCATCTGCGCGTGAAAAAGCCAGATTCTTTTTTTAGAAATGCGACCAACCGCACTTTACCGGCGGAGAACAGCTTCGTTCAGTTAAACTGTCCGCGTTTCCGCCTTCGGTATGTTAATCCCGCTAATCAACGCGTATGACGCTTTATCCTAAATACTACCGCCCACGGGCACGTCCCGTTTACCGTTCCGTAAAAAATCGAAAGTTCCGTTCTGAAAACGTTCAAATTAAGAGACAACGTAATCGATGAGCGATGCGCTCCAAACTCTACACGTGTCCCGACTAATTCCGTACACGTGACACGTCAATGGAAGAACTTTAGATTCACGGTAAACGAGCGTATGCGCTTAGATCCCCTCCATTCATCTTGTTGCGATTATCGACTGAACGGAAAATTCGTCCCGATTTTCCCACGTCGCTCGTACCTTTCGTACGATTCTAATCGCCGGCATCGCAGACGTGCTCCCGGCGGCGTCCACGCGCATCTCCTGCGGAATCGCTAGTCGGTTCCAGAGTAAAACTACGGATACGCCCAGTGCACCAGCTTGCCGGCACCGTCCGACCTGCTGGCCGATCGACACCCGCGAGGAGTAATTGAACAGTAACCAGTGCCGGCACTGCGAGAACGTCTACTGTGCGCCGTCGTCGCGAATTATACGCGCTCGCATATCGATCGCGCGTGGAGGTGGCGGCAATGATAAACTTCGTAGCAATCACGGATTTCAAGTTAAACGTTTGTCGAACTACTGATTCTTTACCAGGAGAAGCGAGTTCTTGATTATTTTTATCATGTTTTCTTCATATGCACAAAAAATGCATATCAATATTTGAAATCGATTAACGCTATGGTGATGTCAGCGTTTGTTAACAGTTAAAACTCGTATGACGTCATTATAGCGTCAGCGCCTAGTATAGCGCTAATATAAGATGACAAGTATTCGAACCAGAAATGTCTTATTTGAATAAAAAAAAAAAAAAAGATAAGAGTGAAGTGGCACTGACATCGGAATTTCGAATACGGAAACTTTCTAGATTTCACCTTGACGTGTTTTATTCCTCCCGTATTTTTCTTAAACATTTTGACATTTCGTCTCGCAATAAACACCTTAACGAGAAGAGGAAAAAAAACGGCATGAAGGCGAAACGATATAGTCTGCCCGTACCGGTTTTATGTATTATGCGCGATTACCGCGTGGGCGGATTGGAGAAGGACGAGGAGGACTCGGTCACTGCCAATTCAGTGCATGTCGACGATTGTCAGACTTGTCAATTAACATTTCGAGTGTGCCTCCCGGCAAGGACTGTACCGGCTGATCTAACTGTGTAATTCGTTCTAGATTGGACGATCCATTCAGGGTCGACGGGGAGAATGAAATACATTCCGCCCCTTTGTTGTTCTGTTACTTGTCTTGACGTTTTGCATTTTAATCGCGGCTGAGATGTATAATATTGCTGCGCGTAATAATACTATCTACAGATTACGTTATCTGTCAATAAGAATTGGAGCGTCTAGTTACGCATATAAGTAAATAATCGGATCACATCATTTCTATATATATCTAAGACTGTTTCAATTAACGATTTAAAAAAAAATATTATTCTTTCATGAAGAGGTCCACGTTTTTTCTCGGCAAGATAAATAGTATTTCACTATCTTGTAAGAACGCATATTTCTAGGAAAATCATGCAATTTGCAGATGAATTACACGGGACAAGAAACGGAATGTCGAGCGCTAATCGATCATTCGATTGCACGGGTAAAAATAATAAGAATCTCACCTGCAATGACGCGTCCTCGGGATGGAGAGCCGAGAGCTGCTTGACCCGATCCTGAAGGATAGTCACGAGCGTGGTGTACCTCCTGTTGAGGGTGTCTAGGTCTCGCGCGACGTCGTCGACCGTCGAGACGAGCTCGCGCCGCGGTTTCTTCACGGATGCGTCCAAAGACGGGCAGATATCTTCCAACTGTTCCTTGAACGCTCGGAGCCTTTGCCCGTAGATCTAAGGGTTTCGGTTAGCCCGTTACGGTTAGTGGTTTGTTATTAGATTCTCGCCTGTGTCGCTCTAGCCCATCTAACCCACCCCTAGCACCATCGCATCCTAAAGGACGATGGGTGGATCGAATCGCGAGGGATATAGTTTGATTTAGCAATTTCAAGCGGTTCGTATTCGGTTAATCGAGACGGGATTGCCTGAATCTGTGTCAATGTTCAAGCACCTCGTATGAATACGCGGTGGGAATCACCTTTAATATGGAATGACCAGTTAACTGTACCCTAGATGGTATATTATTATTTTAAAAATAGGTGCGGCACATGGGAACTGCCCAGGAAATAAGCAGATATGGGCGGATATGTTCAAAGCCAGAAATGAATTGAGAGAAACGTTATACAATCGCATCGCCGGATGCGATAGAGATACGCTTTCCAATTGGCATAGGTGAGAAATCGTGAAAAGCTAAATGTGTATTGCTACGTGGTAAGCGTTAGCCTCGTTTAAGCCTTTCTACGCTCGTATTGACAGCGGCCGGAACAGGATAATAAAAGCAACCTCCAATACTGCGAAAGCGAGAACTTAGCCTGCGTCCTTGATCCCTGAAATACACAAGAACTCGAGACATCTAAATACGTTGTTCGCCATTGTACGAGCCTCTGACTTTTTTTGGTCGTACGCTGCAAAGCCCATGAAAAATACCCGCGCTGCAAAGGGTTGCGATCGATGCTGGCTGCGAGAAGTCCTTCCGGTAGCGATAGCGGTGGCAACGTAGCGTACGATTTTCCTAGTGATTCGCAGACTCGATGAGGGTATCCAGCACGAACCGATGACGATGCCGATGAACACATCTCCAAGTAGAGCTAGCACCACACGGATCTGGGATCTCGTCGCGGTACAGAGAAATCGGACGAACGGACAAAATGGGTAATCGAAAGGAGATCGCGGCGTGGGAACGCGGCGCGAGACAATCGCGTTCTTCTAAATAGGGAACTAATTCGTAGAATCACGCAAAATCCCATTCACGCAAGCGTTCATACCGTAAGCTAACAGGCTACCTAAGGGCTACGTAAACGCTAGCTAAGCCTACCTAAGGCTTTGCGAATTATACCCATTCGCGTCTCATCTTACCTTTCCTTCGCGGATTAATCGACCGCCCGTCACGTTTACCGCCTCGATCGCCGGCGCTCGTTCGACCACTCTGTTCAATAGATTCTGAGAAGCAAATCGTGAAAGAAGGCGTGAATACGATTGAATCGAGAACGCGATTCACCGGATTCATCGCCACGTTTTACCTTCGCATTCTCGACCTCCAGTTTACTGTACGCTTCGTCGACGAAATCGACCTCGTTCCGGTAAGCGTGTTCCATTTGTTGCGCCAACCCGTACGCCGTTTCCGCACTGCGAAGTCTGTCCACCAGCTGTCCGCAGAGATTGGTCCATCTGGAATTCAGTCTGTTCACTTCAGCGTCCAAGCGGTCCATGTCCGAATGGGGACCACGATGATTAGGCCTTGACTTCTCCACGAGACGTCTCGCGTTGTGCGCGTCCTCGTTCAGTTGATCCATCGCGGGTTGATGTTGAGCAATGGCATTTTGTAGTACCATTAGATCCTCCAATACATTCTGCAAGCCTTTCAAATCTGACGGCAGCTCATCGAACGACGCCAGCTTCACCTCGAACTCGGATATCACGTTGGTGTTCTCTTCAAGACTGGAGAGGACGATCTCTACGCATTTCAGCCGCTCGATGTAGAGATTGCTCACGTTCCAGATGTTGTTCCATTTGTTGTTAACGGCATCCAGCTTGTTTCTCATCACGGGTGTCTTCAGAGTGATACCTCGGAACGTTTGTTGCATTCTGTCCAAATCCGGTGCGAGGCGTCTCAGACTTTGTTCGTAATCCTTGTGTTGGAGAACCAGATGCTCCAAACTGTCGATGTCCCTGGGCAATGGAGCAGCGATACGAGAGTTCAAAATCCTTTCGGCCTCGTCCAATGCCTGCTGAAGGGCGGAGACCTGGTCGTTGAAAATACGGCCCGCATTCTTCGACTCCTCCTCCGCTCGAGCGCGTTTCTCCAGCTCGTCGAACAATTTATTCACTTCAGCCATCTCGCGCTTCAATCGTCTCAATTGCGGATCGGCTGGGTCTCCTTCCGACAATAATTTTTCAGCGTCTTCGTTCAAGGCTTTTCTGATAGCCGTTCTCTGATCTGCACCCATGGCCAAGAATTGCGGTAGATCCCAGCCCTTCACCACTTTGATAGTCGCAAAGATCATGTTCTGCCGCAAACGAAGCTGTTTCCGTTGCCAGAGCGCGACGCTGCGGTCGTACTGTCGTCGCAATCTCTCCGCGGCGTCGAGGGCGTCCTTGTCCGGTGGTTGGAGTGCGAAACAGACGCCGGGAACGGGCGATTCGACGCCCTCCTGGTTCTTCACGCGCCATTTTATTCTACCCGAGTTGTCGTACAATGTGCACTGCTCTCCCTTTTCAATCGACATATTCACTTGCTTGTAACTACAGACGCAAGTGACTTGCATGGGTCGCGTCACCGGCTGCCGACGTTGCTTCATGGGGATCACGTCCTTCGCCTGTTCAACCAGCTTCTGAACGTGGTCGCCGTAACTGTTCAGTTCCTCGCGCAATTCTTGCATTCCCTTCAGCAAACGTTCACCCTCGTCCAACGAGAAATCTGACTGCGAGTAAATGGTGTTGAGTGTCTCGTCTCTCTTCGTGATCCACTGCTCCGCTTGTTGGACGTCGCGGAAGAACTGCTGACTCTGAGCCGCGTGTTTCAGATGGACTTCCAAGCAAAGAGTTAACTGAAGAAGCCAAGCCCATTGACTCTGCATAGCGGACATGTAAGCCTCGATGGTCTTAGCCGCGGGATGATGCTGGAGGACCAAAGCTTCGCCTCGATCTTGCACCGCGGAGAACTGGATTTCCCGTTTCTCTAGATCGCTCATCAGGGACTGAAAAAATTAATTTACTTGCTCAAACATACAAATAGAAACTCATTTGTTTGATACATGCAAAAATTGTGTGTCGATCAAATCCCTCATTACCTCAATACCAGATCCGAAAGTACGCTTGGCGAGAAGAATAAGCGTTAGCGATCTTTGCTTTTGATTTAAAAATTAGGAAGTTCTCTAAAATGAATTACCTCGTAATATTGTTCTATACTCTGCACATTTAAGTTCTTGTCGCTCCAGTCCCTAGTCACCTCGGTCTCCTCCTTGGAGCTCAACCAAACGAGCTCGCCGGTCGCGGATTGTATGAAATCGTGTAGAGTGTCCAAGTCAGAAAGTCTCTTGTTCGAGGCCGCCAATAATTCGGTATACAATTTTTGGAGAACGGTCAGATGCTGACTGTACAGCGTGAGTTCCTCTCCGTGGAAGTGGCTCTTCGACTGCACGCATCTATCGACTTTCGGGTGGAATTGTTCGATGTTCTTGTGCTCCCTTTGGTGCACGTCCAGTTCGTTTTGCACGCTGGGTAGATCTGAACCGTAATCGGCTTCCTGGAGCTGTTTGATCTTCGCCTTGCACCAGTCGATGCAATCGTGCAATGCTCGGAAATGCGGGTTTGTGTCAACTAGTCGGGTTTCATGGACGGTAGTACGGTGTTTCGTGACGACGCGTTCCTCTACCGGGAACGACACGGCCGATAGCGGCTGCACCAAACGTTTGTGAAGGAGAGATCGTACGGCGACCCATCGCTGATGCAGTTTTTGAACTCTGCGTTAAAAACGGAACAGATAAGACTGGACATTTCCTAACTGCGAGATCTTATCGTAGTAGTATCGTAATCAGAATGATGATATCGCAATAAAAGTCTTTCCACTCCTGATAGGAGTGCCGTTAAAATTAAGTCACTGAAATAATTTCTTGAAGGAGTGTTTGCGTAAAATGCCTAAAACTGTATTCCTGAACGATGTCACTACCTATGTCATAGCGAGTTCCGTGAATCGATCTACGTAATTGTTTGCAAACTTTGTGCTTGGTAAAGATAAATGTTTCAAAGCAATCAGGCATTTCATTAAGATACTTGGTAAATGTTTCAAAGCAAACGATTTTTGTTCCGTGGACAAACAAACAAGATTTTACCTTTTATGGAGCTCGGCTGCCTGACTGTATCGTCCCTCGGTAAGAGTATGCACGTCCGTGAATATGTTCTGGATCTGGATCTCTGTGTTGCGGATGTCCTGCTCCAAGAGGTCCACCGCGTGTTTAGCTTCTAACGGATGGAGCCGATCGAGACGCCTCGCTTCGTCCTCTACTCGTCTCTCGAGCTCCTCCAATCGGTTGTCGGTCGTTTTCATCTCTCTGTGCACTTTCTCGGCCAGTCGTTGTAATCGTTCGAGTCTGTGCCAGATACACGATTCCCAAATCGAAATTCTAGATAACGAAGTAAATGCTATATAAAAAATGGAATCTCACCGTTTAATTTCGTCGATGATCGCCTGTTCTCTTTCCTGATGCAGCATCATCAGTCGGTTCCAATTCTTCTCGATGACCTCGATGTGTAGTTCAGGCTCTAGGTCCACTTCACCGACGGCCTCAAAATATTTCTGAAGGTCTCTGAAGATAAACGATAATCGTTGCTTGTCCCTGTATCGAGGTGGGACCTCCTCGTTCTTGAATTTCGTGCTGTCGGCCGCCAATTTCTTCATCTCGATCAGCGTCGGTGGGAAGGCACGTTCCTGCATCAGGCACATCTTCTCCCGGATCCATATGTGAAGGGAAGTGGCTAGCTCTCGGTATTCCTCCGAACGCCGCTGGGCTTCGGCATCGTAAAGCGGGTGAATCGCTGGCGGCTCCGGGAACACGTCGTAGAGCGAAGAAATGTACGTTATCAAGGACTTCTCATCCGGTTCAGGAGTATCCACGTCTGTGACAAAAACATTAATTAAACCCTATCGACACCGGTGACAGCTTAATGATTAAAAAACGCTTGTGAATCGACTTGGACCGTTAGGACACGGCCAGTTACACTTCCGTTGGTTTTATTTCAAAAAAAAAAAAAAGGATTATTTCCAACTGTCTTATCATGAAAAAGGAAAAACAGAAGAGCGGGAGAGACTACGGTCACGGTTCGAGCGTCGACGGGAAACGGATGAGAAAATGCGGAGAAGAGAAATTGGCGAACGGGAAAAATTGTTTTATCGCAGGATCTTAAAGACGGCGTTTTACCTTCAGGATCGAGAAGCCTTGTAACGCCATACTCGCGCTCCGCGACGTGGAAGACCCGGTCGAGCCGCTCTCGTGGTTGACTGGAACGAGCACCTCTCCAATCGACCAGATCTGGCCTGTTTCGATGAATCAACGCGCTGAAAGCCAGGCCGTCTCTCCATGATCCGGTGAAGTCCGTCACTCTTACGCCGGGATAGCGAGCCGTCGATCGTCTGGCCCATCTGAGAAGAGCTTCGCGGGCAGTCACGTTCGGTTCCTGGCCCACTACAATATCGGATATCTGGGGAACAGAAAAAGGTCGAGGCTCGTCAACAAATAATTGACAAACACACAAATACAACGATTCACAGATTTGTTCTATTTGGTTCGCCCTTCGATTACCAATAAGTACGAGAATTCGGGATTCGCTTTGGTGGCAACTTCGCCAAGGCTTACCCGAACAGTTTTCGGTTTTGGCGAAGCCTGCCGGCTCAAGGTAGAGGAGCAAGCCACGGTCTCTTGTATGTAACCGCCGGTGGCGCGTTTCGTCAGATCCTCCGCCACGCATCTTTCCTCGCCCCGTGTCAAAGTGGTCGTTTTACGTACGATCCTGGTCACGATACGTTTCGTGCCGTTCTCGCCGCGTCTCGAAGTCTTCGTCGACTCGATCGACGATCCTAAATCGTACCCGTTATCAATCGCTACGTAAACACGCCGAGTATGTACCCGGGAATATAACCGCGCGGTGCTCCAACGAGTCGGCGCCGGGCGCAGTGGAAACAAGTTTCAAAGACGTTCGCCAGACTGATTCGAAATCGCGTCACGATCGGCAACGGACTTGGCTGCGTTCCAGCCTAGCACCATCTAAGTCGATCGCGCCGCGAGTTTTCTGTGTAGATCCTTAAACGCGTAGATGAATCTGTTTCTCGGAAAGAATTTGAAACTCGTAACCGTCTCGATTCGTCGGAGTTCCTACCTAGAACCTCGGTCGAGAGTCTCCGTTTAGTATAGATCGCTTTCAGGTCGTCGGCGACGGGCGTCGCGGCGCTCGAAGGCGAGACGACGTTCTCGCGAGCATCGTCCTCCCGCGTTCCTTGCACGAACAACCTTCCACCCTTGCTGAACCGATATATCGACATGTTGCACCGGCGAAGAGTCTCTTCTGGTCTCGTTACGAGAAACTAACGTCGGCCACTGGTAAAAGTGGCCACGAGCCACGTACGGTCACTCATTCGTAGCCTTATCCGGCGCTACGCTTTTTTTCCTCGCGCGTTACCTGTTCGCGAAAGCCGATTATCGGGGACCGAGTGCGTTCGCCGTTGTCACCGTTAGACCAAGTCAAAGACTTCGTAGCTTGGAACGATGTTATCGATTTTCCCCGTTCGCACGTATTCGAATCGGTGCGTTTCGTCGACGATCTACGAATGATCGGTGACGTTACGCGAGTCGTCGCGAGCCACCTTTAGCAGCGACGCATTCTTTACGGTGGGAGCGCGATCGCGCCTACTCTTCAAAACTGCAAACGCGCTCGCGTTCTCCAAGAACACACTGTCGGTGGCGCACAGGGCAAAGGTGGGAAATTACAAGATTAAGGAAGAGACGGATAGATCCATTGGAACGAGACGGACAGAGAAAGTGACAAACGGAGGATGATAACGCGCGCGCGAGGAATTAATCGTTATCGCAGAAGTCACTCGACGGCAGGCATGGCGCGTATCGCGAACTGACTGCCGCACAGTACAGGTAGCTCATCGAGACCCGATCCCCACTTCGAGTTCCTTTCGTGCTTCTTTGCGCGCCCGTTCGTCCGCTCGCGCGTTTCACCGGTAAGGTTTCACGACGCGGTTCGCCGCCGCGTCTCTCCTCCACGGCGACACGTGCCCCACGTCTACCGGCGTCCAACGCGACTACTACGTACACGATTTTTTTTCCACCGGCCGCGACTTTTAAACCGATGAATCGAAACTACGGGCGAGGAACAGATTCAACGAGACGGCCGACGGCGTGTCGCGTTGTATCCGGCTGCCGTCGCGAGAGTAGGCCAACGAAATGCGCACAGGTGAGAGACGCCTCCGACAGTCCCCCTTCTCGATTCCCCACTCTATTCCTCTCTCTCGTTCTTTTCGTCGTCGAGCTCGCGTCGTCTCTCTCGTACCTTCTCTTCCTCTCTCTCCAGGATTTCCTCCCCCCCTCACAATAACCGCTCGTGCCTGTCATACCATAGCCCGATTCTACTCCATCCTGCCCACCCCCGTCGCTCTCGACGTCACCTATCTCCCTTTTTTGCGTTTCCGCGGCGCACCGTTCGTCCTCCGCCACGTCGAAAAATCGTCGTCCTCGCGGGGGCCGCGGATGTCCTCGTCGCGGTCGCATTAATTAATATTATGCCGATACGGCTGTTGTTGTTGTGCACGGAGACCCGGTGCAAGATCGCGCATGCGTCCGCGCGAGCGATATCGGTCGAGTCATCGGGGAACCGACTGTTGCAACGAGGCGAAACGCGAGGAGAACGCGCGCACCGGGGGGCCCCACTTCGTTCGTCGCGCATCGCGTCCTTCCTCCTTTTCCTTTTCCAGAGATTTGACGATTCACCGTGGCACAGTAACGCTCCGTAAGCGCCGCCTTCGGAATTATTCGCGTTTACATACCTGAATCGCCTAATCCGCCGCGCGAATCTCGATTTAATCGATTGATACGCGTCCGTGCGGAGGACGCGCGGGAACGAAAACAATGATTAAACGAGCGACGCGATCGAAATGGGCGAGGAATCCACCAGCGTTACGAAGAGCAGAAAAATAGGAACGGAAAACGGGCCGACGGGCTCGCTCGGTACCGGACGTGACGTCATCGCGCCGGCAGCTGTTCGCTCGGGCTCGAGCTTCCGTTACCGAACGCGTGAACCAATCCTCGCGATTTCACAAATTATCTACCGCTATTGTAGACTTCCTCCTTTCTTTTTTCATTCAGAAACACTGTAAACTGGCTTAACAAGGTCGCTGCCTTTTGGTCCCTCGGCTCTTTCACTGAATTCGATATCGTTAAAAGGAAGAACACCAAGGGAAGAAACGGTGAGCTTGCGAGGGCGAAAGCGTGCGCGTAACGAGCTAAAAAGGAACGGTCGCTCGGGGCCTGACCTTGGCCGGTGGCGTCATACGCGTTTTTTGTATTCGGTGCTCGATCGACCGACTACGATTATCATAATTACAAGGTGGGCGGCTCGCGACAACGGGAGACGCGCCAGGACACCGCGATACCGACGCCTCCTCCCACGTCCCGGAATACCACGCTGGCTGTGAACCTTCCGTCTCTCGTTGTCGACTCAGATGTAAGCGCGGAACTACCATAAACGGGCAGATCTGCTCGCAATCGTCACCGGTAGCTGAGAAAAATGACGCGGTGTCTCCCTAGGGCAACGAATCTCTTTAAAACTCGAAACCGTTCTTGCGCGTGGGATGAAAAATTCGTGCTTTCTCCGGAGAGAATTTAAACTCATTTTCCCTGTGTCTTATATCGGTTTAGGAATTCAGATTATAAATTCTTTAGGAATGAAATAATACTTTGCGTCGGTCGGACGCAACTTCTTGTAGGAGCGGTACCAGGCTAACAATAAGTAGCGTGAGTCTATTACTGTTTCTACCTGCGAACGCCATCTAGCTTTTCGATCGGTTCACGCGGTGGATAAGAGATCAAGAATCCGGCTAGATCGTTTGCTCGCGCGAAATGCAATTCGACGGATCGACCGTTCGTCTCAATTTCTTTCTCTCATTCGTAGGAGTCTACGTAAGAATATAGGGAAAACTTACCTTGCGTCGCCAGCTCTGCGGCGCGAAACAGAACAGAAAATACACGATTAGACACACAGATCGGGATCGGTGATTACTAAAGTAAATTGTAACAGGGCAGACAGATTGAAATCGATTTTCGTTCGTCCATTCATTCAGCGCGAGAGATAACGAACGGAGGCGCGCTCGTTACACGGAAGCGAACACTGTGTTTCTTTGTGCGGTCGCGTAACACGGTTACTTCGGATCTTTTTTGCGACCGTCCGCAGACGATCCGACGTCGGGGTCTAGCCTTTTCAAACGGCCTCTCTCTGGACGGTGATCACGTACCCGTTCCGTATCGTTCTCGACGGCGGCGCCCAACGTCGCCGCCGCGTCGACTCTCCGTTTCTTTGGTTCGCTTCGACTCGCTTTCGGTCGGAACGAGAATCGCGAGAAAAACGAGAGTGGTCGGGGCATTCCTAAGCGATGATTCCCCTAACCCGTGTTTTCCCTTCGCCTGTTTCTCGGAAGCGAAACTTTCGATCGGTATCGCTTCACGATTCTTGCTTAACAAGCGTTATTCGATAATCAAATGGCCTGAACGGCCGGAGATTAAAGCGAGGCTACGCCTCGGGCATCGCTTTTCATTCACTTTCCCAAATGATTAAACCCCGAAATTAGGGTCTGATTACTTTATTACTGCAGGCCTCAAACACCGACTCAGTCATCGATTGCCTTCTCTCGTTTCACATCTCGAAACGTGCATTGATCGCGAGATTAATATTAATTGTTCGTCGAAGCAATTAATCGATGATCGATTCTCTGGTGATCGCGATTCGAAAGGGCGAACCAGGTACTTGACGAGCATTTTCTACGTGTTATCGATATCAGACTACTCACCTGGAAATGTAGTATGATCGTCCATATCAGACCCAGCGTCAGCTTCGGGTTCCCGTCGACGATGTCTTCGGCACGGATGTTGACGAGTTTGATTTTCTTGTATCGTAAAAAGTCAAGGGCCATCTGTACATTCTGCAGCATGTGGAAACGCATCCGACCCCTCTCCCGCGGCTGCAAGATTACATATTAAATGGCATACGCAATCCTCCATAAGAGCGACCCTCATTTGGCAAAACGAGTATATAGAATATATTATCAGATCGTTCAATCAATATTGGTAATATTTAACACTTAAGAAATCATTAACGTCGATATTTTCACTTTACTATCTCGTATCTTGCTATCTCGTTACCTCGTATGACTAAGCTGTGCACGTCGGCAAATAATTTTAACACAAATATTGACTCGTTCGCGTTTCTTTGTCTTCAGCCGGCACTACTGTCGCTACCTCATTTTTCAATCTTCATTGACAATAATTAAATAAATAATTCATTAGTTTATTTGTGTCAAATTTTAAATAGGTCATTTCATCGGTGAGTCAACGGTAATTAAACAATAGACGTAATCCGGCTGATTTGTAATTCGGGTCTCGTTCGAACGAACCCCTTACGTAAGAAATTCTCACCCTGCCAAGTGAGGGTTGAGCAGAACGTGAGTTGCGGCTGTGTCGCAGAAACGAGCGGAATACTTACGAGATGCTCGCCCGAGAGAACCTCCAGCAAGGAAATGAGGTTGTGCCCGTCCCGCAGGTCTTCGAACAGATCTCCGACATGTCTGCTGGCCTGCAACAACGATTTCACGCATCAGAGCATTGATAAACGACTTCCTCGTTCAAGTGTCTCCCGACAATTCATAACTGAAAATAAAAACAAGCCATCGGGTACACAAGTGAGAGAAAAAAAAAAAAGAAACAGATGACCCAAATGTGAATTAAGAGAATCGTTGAACGAGGCGACATAAAAAGAAAAAAAACTGAACAAATTTTACGAACACGGACGTGCAGTGAACACACATCGGAACGGGTACAGAGATAGAAATGGAAGGGGGATAACGGGCTGAGGTGATAATCGCGTGCCTCGCGAAAATAAACGTGCAAAGTTATAGGGTCGAGGTGCGTCCCGTGCAAACGCAGCAGTCGTGGCCCTCAAACTTGCGGGCGAAGTTTAAACGGGGGTGAACGCGATAAGCACGAATCTCCGTATCGGCATAATATTTGAGGCTGGCCGAGGGGAGAATCGTAGCAATTTCCGATAATTGCCGCTGCCTTTGCACGTCGAACTGCGAGCTCGCGTTGCGGCAAGGCGCACGCGTTCGCGTTCGTTTGGTCGTTAATGGAGTTTCGTCTCGACGATGACGGATTAAGGAAGCGGCGAGCCGAAGGACGTTACTTGAGACAACGGGACGGATCAATCGACAAAACGAGACATCGTCTCTATCTCTCTGGGAAGCATGCGAAAATTCCTTCTACCACTGGCAACGGTCGCGTACGACACCTGTCGTGAACTTACAGTGGGGGAACAGCATGGCTGGTTGTTCACAAGGACGCACACGTGCAGGCACGTGTAAGTCTGAAAAAAACATCGTTTGAAAAAGGAGCACGCCACCGATTGCAATGTGCGCTTGATTTTCCGCGTGACGCGGGCCGAGAGCAGCGTCGAGTTCACCTCGCGTCGCGTTAATTCGTTGCCAATTAACGGGTCGAGACCCGTTACCGCTGCTCGTCAGCCGCGCGGACGAGTGGTCCTCCACTGAAAGACTCTATCACCTGCAAACGGGTAATTTACCCCTCGAGAACGTTTTGTAAGAATTCACGTCGGGTCATCCTCAACTGCATGTCAGCGCCTCGAAGCTAGAATTTAAAGCTCTGACGAGTTAAGGATGTATAGGCTTACTTAAACAATGCTAGCATGTTGAATTTGTTGTTATAGATTCCTACTACTATTAAAAAGCTACTTGCAAAATTTTAAATCAAATTCATGGGTTTTTTGAAAAATTATAGTGACTTAAAAGTTGCATATACTCTTATAGTAATCAGC